TGCTTACATTGTTCACTATTTACTTACAGTGCCATTTGAAGGCTTTTATGATTTCACGGTTGAATATTTGCAATTATGATGTACAAGGTCTGTAGTCAGTTAAAGACTCTCTTTTTACAATTTTTGCACAATTTCCTGATAGAGTTTCCCGCGTTTTCTTGTCTCTGGAACCCAAATCGAAGACTTTTAGAAAGCATTATTTTTCAGCTGATATCTCTCATTTAGGAACTTCCTGAACGCATAATATTTTATAGATTTTTTCGAAGTGGCTCAAAATACTTCTGCAAGATTGTTTCTTCATTTGTATGGTGTCTGCGATCATTATTCAAAAGTTTTGCTTAGGGCCATTTGAGGTCTTGATCAATTGCATGCAATTTTTTTCTTGTTTTCCAAGTCTTTCATTTTGCTCATATTCGGACTCAGTTTTAGGGTAGAGGAGGGAGCGATTTCATCATTGTCGATACTTTTAATGAAGTGCAAACTACATAGATAATACGTAAAGTCCGTTCACTGCTTATGGTCATGTGTGTCATTGCACACACAGTCCACCTTTGGCGTCCTCATCCTGGATTTGCAATGGCAAAAACGCGAGAGATTAGCGATTCTTAACATTACATTAATTTGAAGTGATTATTACAAAAAAAGGTAAGAAAATATTGAGAACGCATTGAGTGTGCAATGATACACATGATCATATGAAATAATGAGAATCTGTGAAGGTGGATCAGGATATAAAAAATTGATTTAGCTCAGTTTCCGATGGACACCGCTGTAATATACAACTTTGTAGTAACCTCCGCCTAATAAAAAAATTCCATTCTTTGAATTATAAAAGAGTCAACCTATAACGAACCACATTCTTACGGTTCCTACATTGAAAATTTTGAGAAAAATCATTTCCTTTGCTCTAAAAATCCCAAAACAAACGAGCTTTTCGCGTGTTGAATTGCGAACCAATGCATAATCCCACGATTTGACAATTAAACCGGAGACATTCCAAATAACATTTCGTACACCATAAAAGCTCACTTTTCCTTCCAGAATATTCGAAGCTTCAGTGTAATAACAACTTGCGCTACCCTCCTTCCATAAATGTTGCCTCAACTCTGCAATTTTTCCCCCACCAGTTTTTCTTATGTGCAATTTCGCATTGCAAACGAGAGAAATGCCAGTGGCGGTCGCTTCCCGACGACGACTCAATACTTTTTTCCTTATTCTCATCCAATATTCCGTCGACTTTAATGGATTATCCGGGAATTTTCTAGAATTTTCATTGTCGAATGGGCACTTCAGGGAATAGGCTTTCATAGTCATTCTGCTCGTATAGACGATATCAAGGCTTATCTGTACTTCTTCTTGAATCAAACAAACCAGGCATGTTTCAGGGATTTCCTTTTTGTCAGTTAGCTGTAAATTTTTGTTAGTTTGAATTCTCAGAGGAGTTTTTCTTTTGTATCGCCAATTTAGAAACCATGCGAGCAAAACAAATAAAAGAAATCGTATTTCTCATCAACCACTTTTTTGCAAATCCATTTTCAATGTCCGAAAATTTTCCCGTTTATCTCTATTTTCTGGTCTCAATTAATGAAAAAAATGAAGCCATGTGCGATTACCCCTTATTCATAAAAACTTCGATCTTTGTGAGGGCTAAGAACTATGATGGCTGAGAAAAAGCTGTGAACGTTTTTCTGAGCAAATCTTGATGAAGCCTACTGACCTTTTTCACAATTTTTGCGCTCACAAAATTGTAATTCGAAGCAAATAATTTTGTATTCAGAGATTCAACTAGAAGCTGCTTTCTATCGCTCTCAACATGCAAATGTTGTGTTATGTGATGTTCAAGATGTAATGTTATGATTGTAATGTTTTGTTAATCGTTGGCCTGCATGATTTTCATTGTTATTGAAATACCGATATCAAGTAAACCGTTACAATAGGAAATTTACAAAATTCGCGAACTACAAAGTCTAAAAATCTAAAGTACAAACCTTCAAAAGTATGTACTGCGATGCAGGCCAAAAGTCAGTACAACAATCAAATTTATTTTCTAATCCTATACTTATTCATTTTTTGTGTTTATAGGCTAGAACATGGCATTGATGCGGTTATCTATTTTTCAGTCTTTTCATTTTCAATTTCACAGTTTTTGAAATTCTTCTGAACAACTGGGGCTTCAAATGGCTTTGTACTTTTGGGCATGTATCCCTTTTTATGACAAATGGCAACAAGTTTTTTTTTTTGTTTTGAAATATTGATTTTGACAAGGGATGAGAAGTATCGCGGCAAAACAGAAATACAAATAGCTTTTCGAAGTTCTATAGTCAGTGTTGGTTAGAACCACAAATAACATAAACCTACGCTAGTTTTAGCTTGAGAGTAGATCAAAACAATTCTAATTAGTCACTGACTATAGAACTTCGAAAAGCTATTTGTATTTCTGTTTTGCCGCGATACTTCTCATCCCCATTGTACATATGTATTGGTAACACTGAGTGAAGAATGCTTCTTTTAATCCGGAGTCTTAACTGAAATCCTTTGAACCACTTTTTTCTATGTTAAATTATTCGCTTCGGCTTTCAATTGCACATTTGCCATCACAAACACCATCATTTGCCGTTGAACTGTGCTTGCTCGTGAGAAATACTAGCTTTAGTCGTGCGAACAAACATGGGCCGTTCCGCAAGTCTTCATTCAATGTTAATCTTTGAATATTCATTATTTAAACTTGTAAATCAATATTATCTTGCCTTTTTAGAGAGTGACGGTTTCAGAGATTGTTTAATTGCGAGGGAAGTAGAGGGGGAAATTTTTTGCCGAATGAAAGCAAGACTCCTTTCGCTCTTTCTTGATTCTCAAGTTTCTTGGTATCTATATTATTGAGCTTTTGTGCAGAAAAATGAGGAAGAAAAGGCAACTGCGTTTTAGATTTTTTACACCGCTAATTTGGATTCAAGCTCAAAATTTTTTTTATTATTCATAGGATCTGGATTATAACAACAAAATTTGGGAATCATTTTTGAAAATTTTTGCACCTTCCTTGTCTGCCACTGCTATCTACTAATTGTGCCCTAGCAATTCGAGCCAATTTCGTTCTGTGAAGACTTTATTATCTGTTTATAACTTTGAATTCTTCCGCTAAGCAAAAGCTTCTTCTGCTGAAAGGAAAAGAGTATTTTATGTTCGTCTGCAGAAATTGCCTTTTATTCACAATTACCCTGATCGAAAAGATCTACACACTTACGTGAGTCGCCTAGGAAGGGTTTTTTTATATGTTACGCTACCGTATGATTACCGTATGCCAACATTTTTATGCATATAAGGACTTTTTAGACTTGGCGTAGGTCTTGTAAAGGGAGTCATCACAATGAGATGAGAGGTTGAAAGACTGGGGCTCCAATCACTGACAGAGTTTTATGCGAAGTTGCGTACTATTCTGGCTAAAGGGGGGGGGGGGGAACTAGAAGTTTGGTCTCGTTGTCTACTCAACAAACTAAGGCTTTAGTACACAACTTCCTTCAATGTTGAAAATAAGCTAGATATCTTCAGTGAGCGAAATACCATTTCTGAATAAAAAAAGTTTCTTTACAGTTTTTCCTTAGAAATCAAGTGGTGACGTCTATCGCTGGCTAGTCGATTTTTTTCTGCTCTTGTCACAAACACTGTCCTTAAATGTTGAGTGTGCGTTTAGGCGAAAGTACTAATCCGCATCATCGGATCAGTCCCTTCGAGGTCATTCGTGGTATCACTTAGCAACGAACTGAATATTCTATCTGAGCTTGCTTACGTTAGATTTGGAGTTGCTTCTTTGCTTTCACTCGTAAGGCGTGTAACCAGTACATGTAAAATAGACCAGTACTCGTAAAATAGAATAAAGATTTGTCGTAGCCTCCAATTACAGATTCTCTTTGCCTGTCTTCTGTCAGTCTTTGAGCTTTCAGTAGCCAATTATCTGATAAAAAAAGTGCGATTCATCACCAAATATATTTATATTATATTACCTCTTTCATCATAAGAAACGCACCCACCTCCTTTGTAGTATGTATGCACTTCATGTCGTTTTTTTCTACTCCTGAATTATTCGTTCTTCCATAGATGACCTTGCCGAATTTTTTTGAACGTTTACTGCTATGTCTATGTAATCGTGTTTTGCTACATTGCCTAGAACCAACATAGAAAAATGGCGCCACCATGTGCTAAACTTTTTTCATGAATGATTTTTGAAAGCAGCTAGATAGCTGTCTATCTGACCGTTATGGGTAGATACAAAACAAAAATCAGTGAACATTTTTCCAGCAAACTCTGAGAATTTGATCTCTAACAGCCACAGCAACCCGAAATAAATCATGCCGTAAAATTACCGTATTACTGTGGTGGCAAACAGAAAACAGAAAACTCCCAGCTCTTGCATATCTCAAATCTCTTGCAATTTCGTACGAGCTCATTTTTTCTATACACAGTCAACTCCTTCTTACATGGATAGAATAGATACTTTAACTGGCTCCAAAAAGTTTTACGATAATACATTTTCAACTTTTTTAAATCACCTATGCTATTGCATACATTTGTTCTCGCATTGTAAAAACATTATCAAAACCGCATTTTCAGGAGAAGTTTTCGCTATTTTCAAATATTATGCTAACATTTAAGATGTTCTTCTAATATTTCTGCGTATGTAAAATTTGAAAATGTTCTTTGTTTTTGCAAAAGTTGACCAAGCCAGTTTTTCAGCTCTCCTTTCATACGTCCGTATTTTGTTTGGTAGTCAGTAATGGATCTTATTTTTTTTACTGACCATGATTCATTTTTTGCACTATGAGGGTTGTCAACAAATCAGGTAACATTTTCCGCACTTTTCTGTTTGCAAACATTTTAGTCGTCGATTTGTGCCCATGACTCACTGACATCAAAGCTATTCTTGTCTGCTACTTCTTCTCAATCCGCCAATGTCGTTCGTATTTCCTTAAAAAGAAGTCATAAAAGCTTCATTTCGAATTTTCTTTAGTTCACGGAATGTGATGACCACGAAGACAAAAACGCCACCACCTCTGTCAAAAATTTACTATGTGGACTTAGTCTTGGTAAGGATACATCAAATTTCTTGCTAACAGTACACTATTATATGTATTTATTTGTTAATGATTGAGTTCTTACTAAATATTACCAACCAGCTGTTTTGTGTAAGAATTATTAACACAGTTTCAAGCGGCGGAGAAAAGCACGTATACAGTATTTTTGGCTTTGTTAAAAAACTTTTTCCTTGGTGCGTGTCCTTACGTTCAATATGAAGCAATTAATATGTCATAATAACTTACGACAACACTTTTCTTCTTTACATCTCAGAAATTCTCCAATTGCCAATGTTTTACTGTGTTTTTTAGATTGCCCTTACAGTCGTTCTCGGTACCATTGGTCTGCTATTTCCAAAGGTTCCGCTTCTGATATGGCTTCCATCCTTACTTCTGCTCTGCTCTTCATGTGTTTCACTTTCTGCCCTAATTTATCTGAACAAGGTAAGGTTCGCTGCGTTGAATATTTGATTAATCTGCTTATAAAAAATTTGACTAAATTTTCTAAAAATAGACCTTGAAATCAAAAATTTTCATCTAATGATTAGTCTAAAATCCTTACGGAAAACACGACATTATGTTCCACTTTCAGGGAGTAGCTTTACGATCACGTGACAATCTCCTCTTCTATATTCTGTTGACGATCGTTCTTATAATTTTTGTAAGTGGCTTCTTTTTTCATTTTATAGGTTCGGCTGCATCTAACTTACGCTGGAAACCAAAATCTCAAATTTCAGAGAATATTCTGTGTTTGCCTGCTGCTAATCGGTATTTTTGTGCCACATGCTATCGCTTGGATAAGCGGATCACTTGCGGCTGGTAAGTTGATGAGGGATCTAAATATAGAAAAGAAAATTATCCTTTGATTGAACTGGCTTTGCGGCTGGAAGGCGAGGTTTCGTGGCCTAAGTAAGGCTAGATAATAATCAGAGAGCATGCGCGCGGGAAAGACGCAGACTGCGTCGCGGGCGCAAGCGGCCTCAATTAGGTCACAATGCCCCGCCTTCCAGACGCCAAGCAAATCAAAGGTTAGCTACAAATAACACTGCCTTTATTATTTTTAGTAGTCATGCATATTTTGGTTGAATATTTGTCTATCAAATGCGATGGTGTGCTCTAGCACAAAAGAGCACAGAAGATAAAGCGGATGCATACATTTCGTGCCAAAAAACCGTATTTATCTAATCAAAGCTAATGCATTCGTAAAAATGTCTCAATAAGTACTGTGACACCAATTTCTACAGATTTCTCTATGTGCTTATCGTTAGAGAAAAGCCTTGACCAAGATCTCTGCAAGATCGACAACTTATATAAGCTGAAATCTCCCATTCGTATCTCTATAGCAAGTCCTGGTTACCGGATTTGCCTAACACCACATTCGATAAACTGAAGTTCAACCCATTGACGACGATTTGGACCATCGGCGGCCCACACACTTTTTGCTGCCCACGACGACGTGGACCACCAGTGGCCCACACCTCTTGCAAAAGCATACCTCTTCCTGTTCAAGTATTTCTTCCAGTTTTTTTGTACTCGATGCAGTTCACGGGGCTCTTGAGACTTCCAGCCTTACTGTCTACGAAAATGAATACAGAACTCAAAAATGTTGTGCAATATCGCGTAGTCCAACAGCGCCGCCATGCAAAATTAGGCGTCGTCGTCAATGGGTTAAGAAAAAATACCAAAGCAAGAAAAACTGTTTAACGCGAAAATCATATAGATGATTGGCATCTAGCAGATTTATCCTTCCAATACGATTCCTAGTACCTTTCCTCATTCTTGCTCCTCGTAATATTTCTTCTACGTAAATTCGTACCTATAGCACTTTGGCGCTTCACGAGAGCCACAGCTTTTGTGAAAAACTTACGTTTCATGAGAAAAGCCCATCTGAAGCATTATTGAGCTATCTCGGCTTACCTGATTGTGAGTAACAAGAGAAAGTGACGTGTCAGCTTTCTAACTAGAAAGTTGAATATATAATCATAAACTTCAATGGCATTCGTTATCTTTGTAAACGTTTTTCTGGGATTTCGATTTGAAAAAAAGAAGTTGATAGCCTCCTAATCAGTCCTGCAGCATGACTGAGATTTACCCTTCCCCTTCTTTTTTAGAAAAATAAAGTTCTGCAATTATCATTGAAGCAATTTCAGTTGCGCAAATGCATGCCATTTTCGGACTGATCGCTGTCGGTAAAGTAACGTTCTATCGGCTTGGACTTGATAAGAGGAATACATGGAAAGATAAAAAGTAAGTATTTCAAACATTTTATAACAAACGGAGTGTTAATCATGTTAGAGATAAAAAGCTATTTAGATTCGCTCCACATCAAATCGAAGAGATTGCCATCGTTAATCTTGGCGCGAGTCGCGCCACACTTGTCACCAACATCGACGAAGGCGAACTGGTGCAGTTTGATTCTCCTTGAGATGGAACTGGGGTTATAGCAAATTTTTTCTTTCGTTTTTTTCGTTGTTTCTTTCATTGCGCTTCATATCTCCAGATTGTGAGATTTTGTAGAAATTATCGCTAGTCATCTCCTCTTGATATTTGGAACAAGTCTCCCAAACATTCAATTTTATATTCTTGAAGATAAGTGGCTAATTTTCCTATCTTTCGTATGCTTTGAATTCTCAGACAATTATAGGAAAAATAATGCTTTTTGCACACTCTGCAAATTTGCATCTTATGCTGTCAAATTTACGTAAAGTTCCAAAGATATCATTTTATCTCAGTGTGTATGTGTATTCGCTAGTTTTTTGCAAAACATTGGACCACATGTTAGTGACAATTTTGCTGGCTTTCTCTTTGTAATCACTGTTATGTACGGGTTTACTTTATATCACTCTGGTGTATGTAATGAAAATAAATTCGTTTATGATATTGTACTGTTCATTCTTGTAGAACTTTTCATTTCGTCAGCATTAGCACTTCGTCCACTCTGCGTCAGTCTATGCATCAGACAAATAAGATTGTCTGACATACATCATCCGTACCATAATTCTGAAAACTTTGATGATGCAAGAAGACAATGCTAATTTTCCTCGAGATGGTAGTGGTTGGAAGAATTATTCTGCGAAAGGAAGATTATTTTGGTATGGAATATCGACTATTAGAAAAGACCACCACACTTTGCACGCAATGGTGCTAAGTAGTGCAAGAAAGGAGGATAAAAAATTTTTTAATTAAAGGGAAGTAGTATTTGCTACGCCCTCCGAATAACTTTTTCTAGGAGGGTTCCCAAATTTTTGCGAGTCTTTAGCCTAGAAGTCTTGGAAAGAGTGAGGTAAGTTATAGAAGAGAAACTTTTATTCGTACTCTAGGATTCAGTCCGTTTGATCCTCAAAAATGGAAATTGCAAAACTACAGCTCTCCTAGACTGCTTGAATTATTCGAAAAATAGGACTTATTATATTATAACTGTTGTAATCGCAAGTGATGTCCAACACTACGATTCATTTATAGTATTTATTCATTGCTAGATGCAGGCGTGTTTCCTTGCTTTCAAATTAGGATTGTTTTGATCTTATCCAGTTTTTAATCCATTTTCTACTTTATTTCCAATTCCAAATTCCTTCGGACCAGAAACCATACTTTTATAAGCTAAAGCTTATGAATGGGGAAAAAATTACTCATGTAAAATAATTACGAAACCAAAACTTGCAAGTGCTACAGTTCGCCTACAGTATCATGTTTTGTTATGATATTTTCTCTCATTATGGCTTCTGTGAAGAAGTTTGAGCGTGTAGCTCCTGTAGCCTTCCTTTTTTTCGTTATAGCATTGAAAAATATTGCAAAATTTTGAAAGGTGCTTGTAGAACTATATAAATTAAGCCGCACATCAGTATAATATTTAAAAAATCATCAAAGTTGTTAATCCACTGATTTCACAAAATTTTTCAAACGTTCTATTTTCTTAAGACCTGTGTTTCAAAGGGTTCGAGGAAAGATTTACACATCAGTCTCGGGCTTGCGGCTAATTAGGTGCTCATTTCCTTCGCTTAAAATGAAGTATGACCTCAAAAGTATAAGATTGGTGAAAAATAATGCGCTTTTGCGAGTTTTCACTTTGACCTGCTATAACTTCTTAAAAAATCCATATTTTTTAGTGCGGCAAAGTTCATCAAAGGCACTAAACCTCTCTCTATACAGCGCACAATTTATGTTATTGGCCCGTAGTAAACCCCCCATCAGGGCATCTTTCTCGACGCGGACCAGCGTTGATCTCATCACGCCTCAGTCTAGCATCCGGCGAGCCATTGATCTGGATGCGGATCGCTTCCGAGGCATCACAATCAAGTGCATTCTTGAAAAGGGAACCACTCAAGCTGGTTTGGTCGAGCAGGTAAGGGACTGAAATTCAAGGCGCGCGGCCATGGTTCGACACCGGCTAGCGCCACGTTTTTGCTGTACTGCAGGGCGTCTTTGATAGCGACCACTATCGGAAAATCGATGATGACCGCTATCAAGGATTTCGCCTAGAAAAAACATGGATGACACAAAAACGCATTTTTTGACGAAAATTTTATGGAAAATTGAAATAACTGCAACATAAATCCAACGAAATAAATCTACAAATTTTTGCCTTGAGCAGTTTGTCAAAGAAAAAAGTCAGTAAAATCTACAAAAAAGAAAAAGAGGTTTTTTTCTCTTTTCCTCGCCAAAATCAGCTGTTCATCGATCCTCTCCTTTCCGGGCGCGGTTGTGCAGTTTTGCGCCGATTTTTTCTGCATTTTTTGGCAAAGCTGTGTGTATCGTAAGTTACTCAGGAGCAACTTATGTTAGATGCAGTCACCTCTTGTCTGCGTATCCTCTTCTACACACTATTTGGATCACTCTAACATCCGTTCACGTTGAGGTGACTTGAACGTGAACTGATGTGGAAGAGTTGACTGCAGCAGGTGGACAGATCGTCAACTATCAGTTGACTTGACCATCTTATAGCATGGTAAGGTGGGTGGTCATCAGTTCACCTCACGTGCAGTGAACTGATGGGTTAAGTTGAGTTCACCTCAACTGATCGAGCTTTACTACAGGCCATTATTGCCGCAAATCGGTGGAAAATATGGATTGATAAGCAAAAAAATTTTTTTCGGAAACCTCGTATTTAACTGATCATAACTTCCTTCAGGATTTGTCGTTATGAATGATAAGTTGACTGTCTTGTAGCCGCAAGCCATTAGTACAAAAAAGTGCAAAAGGGCTCAAATAAAGAATATTTGCGAAAAGGAAAAAATAATATTCAAAATAGTCCGCTTTTTTCGACATTTTTTCGTAGCCCTCAAAATCCCAAAATATGGAGATTCTTGATTTTCTGTGTACTGAACAGCTTCCATATTTCTGCAAAAACTGTCAGTAGGAGGCCCACCCTTACGCTTAAGAACTTTGGCGATTGCCCTTTTCAAAGGAAATCTATGGGCCACAGAATAGCCAAAACCATCACTCATAATGAGGCGCCGAGATCTCAGTCTAAGTAATTTCTAGAAAAACAGTAGAGCATGCGTTATGTAGAAAATTTCCACTACATACGGTACTTAAATTTTCAAAAGAATGCCTTTACTCGCGCTTGAATTCTGGCCCAAAAAGTAAGTGCAATGAAATTCTAGTTTTGAGTGCTCTTGTATGAAGCTCTATAAATTTTTAACGAATGAGGCTAGAAGCTTCTTTCAACCACCGCTGGATAGAGCATGAAAGAAGCTTCTTGATAAGTGCTGGGTAAATTTCATAGGAGAAACTTCGATGAGATAAGCTATCTTGAAACAAGGGCTAGAAAAACGCGCACTACTTTTGCACCAACCTAATACAAATGACAAATGAAGAGTAGTGATACCAATCACTAATAAGGGTTCATCACTATTTTTCCGAAAGTGCAAAATGCCTGTAAACAGTACGATTCGCTGTAAAATTTATTTCTCTGAATTTTTTGCACCTTTGGCTAACACAGCGTGTAAAGATTCCTAGCAGACGATTTTTCTTTCAAAGAGGTGAATCTTTACAACAGAGTAGAAGAGGAACTTTGCCAAAGTTAGAGGGCGGGATTATGAATAATGAAAACAGCATCCCTCTTTGCTCCCCAATTATTGTATCAAAAGCTTTAGTTGTTCGTATCACAATTTTTTATATTCAGATGGAGTTCTAAAATTACATTTTGCCAAACAAATAATTCCTATACTCACTTGTGAGCACAAAGTGGTCTGCATCACGGAACCTTTCTATAACAAATCGGAATTGTTTTCTAATAAAGCAATACCATGCAAAATGTTGTTATGACTAGCTACATTTCTCATTTTATACTGAAACAATACACTAGGTGTTCGCAGTATAACAATACCAATATTGATAACAATACAAAAACGGTACTTAATAGACGCAAAACTTTCGTATCTATCAGTTGAAAACCTTAAAAATGATCTGAAGTTCCTCACGCTACCCTACAAAGTTTTGCGAAAAGATCTTTATGGCTACAGTACGAGTTATGAGATTAACATCTTCTTATTCTACTTTCTGAATTCTCAAGCGAAAAAAAGCTACTCACTGAATTTGGTGCTGAAAACATTGTGAGCTTCATTGAATTTTTGGAAAAGGTTTGCTCAAGCAGATTGAGCAATTCTTTCGGAGCTAATTTGATGAGCTAAGATCATTGTAACTTCGTTCAAGCAAAGGCCTTTGTTTTATTCAACCAAGCTGACGTGTTTTACTTTCCAGACGCTGTTTACAGTCGACGTATGCGACTGTCCAAATCAAGTTTTCCATTAAATGCTGAGAACTCTATTATATTCACAGCAAGGCACATAATCCAAATGATCCAATAAAAGTTACATTCATTCCCTAATGAATGATCATGCAATTCTAGCTGTCAGCTGCCATAAAGCTTGTTTCTTTCTCATAAAGGCGATCCTTAGTATTGGTATATTTCAAAAAATAATGCAAAAGAATCCCCAATTTTGAATGAGCGTGAGCGGAAGGGGGGGGGGAAGGGTCTAATACTCCGTCTAGGGAGGTAAAAGTGGGAGACAGTTTAGAATGTGGCAGATATTTTAGATGGCATAGTCCACTTTTTGATACCGTCGTCGAGTTTGTGGCTGCGTATGCGCATTTCACACCATGCGCATTACTTGACGATTTATAAAATTAGAACCTGCCCAGATGATTTCTGCATGTTTCCTTGCCTTTTTCGATTTGATTGGTTATCTATTAATTAGTAGTAAATTTTTGCAGTTCTTTACGCTCAAAAAAAGGTTTTACTGAGAAGATATAAGGGTGTCGTCGATTGTTTGCGCATAGTGCGCAGACCCACATATTACAATACAATAGCTAGAGGATTTTCCATTCCTATCTCTGAAACTTTTCCTTTTGAATCACGTAATTATTTTTCAAATTTTATTTGAAACCTTTCTTCCTATTTTTTCTTGTAATCTAATATATACCTCGTGAAAATGTGCGTTTGTAAACTTCCCAAATTTAAACCTACAAGGCAAGATGTCTACGAATACCACAGCAGCCCCAGAGGAGATTCGCGTTATGATGGCAACAACGTATCTGGCTCTTTCAATCATTGGCATTGTGCCAAATATTCTACTTGGTATCACTCTCATTCAGGTACTCTTATGGCCTGGTAATTGATTATGAAAGAAAAACGACGCATAGAGGAGGAATTTTTGACTGTATTGCAAATTTTTCCCACTTACTTCCACAACTACGTGAGAAAACGAGGACTCGTTCAAAAATTTTTTTGCAAAGAAATTTACAATACTACCTTTCGATTACTCCAATAAAACAGTTAAGGGGTTTCCACACAAGTATTCCAAGAAAATGTTATGCGTTTTGGAGCATCTCTTAATTTCAGAAACGCGGCAAATTACTGCAGACGTGCTTTTTCATGCTCACTACTCAAATACTGCTCTGTGATTTGGGCGAACTTCTCACTCAAATCATCATTGCATTCCCTTTATCTTTATATGGAAAAAATGTGAGTTCTGTGAAAACAAATACAGCTTATCAATCACAATATAATCATTTGCAGATTTACGATGGAGAAGCGAGCATTTATGTCTATTATGTTGTCAATATCGTCGATACTATCAGTTACAATGGCGTGCTATTATTCACATTCGTAGTGGCACTTAATAGGATCAGCGTATTTGTTTGGCCAAAGCTACAAGTACTGCTTTTCAGTCATTTAAGCATTTGGAGGTCGGTTTACGATTTCTCTAATTGAAAAAATAGAAATAAACAATAAAAATCACGCTGAAATTCTTAAAAAAGCCGCAAAAAGCTAACAATCAGAATAACTTAGTTTTCTTTTGATTCTTTATAAAAAAACAAGTGAAACACACGATCTTTGGTAGTGTTAGTAGATTGAATTCTTGGTGTGTGCAGAATGAGAATGTGCTGCCGCGAATGGAACTTGTGTGCCTCGATAGCTCAGTTGGGAGAGCGTTAGACTGAAGATCTAAAGGTCACCAGTTCGATCCTGGTTCGGGGCAACGTTTTTGCAAATCACCTTTAATATACTACTCGTAAATGAGACTTTTCGATCGCACTAATTAGTGGTATCTATTTGAACTTTTACTTATTTCCTAGATAAAAATCTATGAAATAGATGAAAAGTAAATCCGGGTTTTTAGCATCAAATTGAGGAATGAGGAGATAAATGTTTGGGAGTATTTTAATTTGAGAATTTGATTTTATAATTATTTTTCATGCTATTAAGTATAATGTCAGGTGTAACCAAAGCAGAAGCGGTAAAATCTGGAAGAATTTCAACTATAAAATTTTTCACTCTGCGAGATAACTTTTGGCACAATTCTTTTGCACTACGTGCTTCCATTTATATGCCAAGCTGATGTGGGGTGTCGCAATGAAAAAAGTTAAAAAATCTTGAAAATCAAATATGGGGCTTGTGGGGCTTGAATCTAATATACGCCTTAATTTTTAAACTTTTTAATCTATGCTTTTTAGAACTATACTAGCAGTATGGTGTTTTATTATAATCGAAGTGACTGGTGTGAATTTGCTACAGTGTTGGAAAAATTTTGCATATGATGAGTTTTACTTCTTTATCAAATGCTACAATAATTCCTACTTTTCATTTTATTGGCTAGAGGTAAGCAACTCTTTCTACTCTTAAAGCTCACTACAAAGCATAATTTCAGTTTATGCGCTATCAGAGCTTTGCACTTCCGATAATAATGTTTGTGGTGTACATATTATTATTTGTGCATTTGCGGTGGAATACACCAAAAAGAGCCAAAATGACAGCAGCAGTTTCAGCAAAAAGAAAGGCGGAAATCAAGTTGCTTATTCAGGTAAGAAATTGCCTAAAAATGGCAAGAAATGCCTCAAAAATGAAAAAAAGAAGAAAAGTTTTGAGTCTAAGATTAGACAACAAAACTAAACTACAGTCTTCTCAAGCGCAATGTCCCTTTTGCTTGCGACAAAACCGCCGTGCGATTACCTCGCGTGCATAACCCCGATCGATGAGGCTGATGGATCTGATGAAGCCGAACGTTCGCGGAAAGCGTTCGAGGCACCCGCGAGGCGGTTTAAGAGACACAACGATTGAAACAGACTGTAACTAGTTTTTTTTCGTTTCCCTCTCATATTTTTCTTTTTCCGAAACGACCATAAATTCTAATTTTAAGGCTGTTATCATCACTGTATTTTTGGAGCTACAAACGCTATCATTCACTTTTCTTCCGCAAGTTGGTACTGGCTATAACAAATACTATTCAAGTCTCGCACAGAATGTTATTAGTATCTGTAACAACTCTGTGAATCCATATGTGTATTTCTTGATTAATCGACAAATTCGTAGAGATATGATAGCTTTGGTGTGCGGAAAACGAAAAGAGGAAAAGAAAATAACGCTCACCAAGGCTTTTGATCTGACAAATATCTAAAGACTTGTAATTGTGTAGAATTATATCAATGTAGTTTTTATGTGATGATGCATGATTATGATTATAATACTGTAAATAGAGAGATTTTTACATGTGGTTTTATAAGATTCTCTGAATTACAAATCAAGCAGTGTAGAGTCCAGTATAAACAGCTAATTCCACAATAAGGTAGACTATTGCTATTTTCCGCACCTCTAAAACATCTTACTTCTAGCGCATTCTTTTGTTAGGCTGCGTACATGTCTTCGTTAGATAATTTTTTTTTGCTAACGATTTTTTTCAAATTCTCAAAAATCACAAATGTTTGTTACGAATAATCTCTTCTTCCTCCTTCAATCGTCCTATAATTTTTTTGTTCAGTCAATAAGCTGGTTTATTCTAAAATTCACTTTGGCAAGAAGGAAAGGAAGAAACGGCATATCTCTAGTGATATGAATGTCTCAGAATTTGCATATAAAACATACATTTTTGAGCGAAGCACAAGGCGCATCTAATATCACTATTCAAGTTGTTCTAGATTATCATCTATAGGAATTACAGGGTTTTTGTAAATTGGAAACTAGTAAACCTCCAAAAATTGTCGCACACCTTTCACCACGTGCTGTAAAAGTCCAGAATGTTTAGTGGAATCTAAATAAATCATGTTTCTTGAGAGCAAATGGCAAATCAGATTTGAAGATCTTCCTATCCTGCCGCTGCTTTGCATCTACAAAAATCATATTTTCTGGAACTCGAATCGTCAATGCAGTTCAAGGACACATGGTAGAGTTTTTATCGTCATCATTTTTCCCATATCTTCATTTAGAGCTGTGGAATCTGATAAGTAAATTTGATGTTTTCCATGCTCAGCTAGTTAACCCACTTCCTCCGACATTTCCAGTATATTCCATGGCAGCTTATTGAAGTTCTTATGCTTTTTGCTAATTTGCAGTTCTCGCGCGAGGACCCACGCGTTGCGCCATGAATCCATGCGAGATACGATCCTGGGGTCCAATTTCGAGGGGAATATCTTAGCTGCTAGAGCACTAACTGAACTGCCGGTTGGGCAGTGACTTAGTTAGGGCCCCTAAATTACTACCCATCTGAGATCTATGTGTCCAGACTTGCCTGGACGCTGCCTTTAAGCATCAGAGCTCCTGTAAAATTGGCAACTTAGATTCACGGTACAAAGGGAATCACCCAACTAACTTCAACAGTGTAGTATTACGTTAGAGACTTTTGGCATATGACGCGATTGAGAAATCGCTGCAATTTCTGAAAAATTTGCAAAAAAATCTGATGAAAGGGCTGTTTTAAGCATGCTGATTTCGCTGCTCAACGTTTCAGAAGTTTTTGAAGTTTTTGTTATTGATGTGACACAGTTCTGCGGGACATTGAGAAAGAATTTTTTTGCCATGGTTGATATAACTTATATACGTCAGGAGCTCTATTTAGTGTGTTTTCTGAGGCAAAACAGGTCCCTCTTTGGCTTGAAACTTTCTTAAAAGTTCCTGGCGTAATCCTGTGACAAAATTATCGATGACCCGCTACATACAGCAAATTTGAGTTGAAGCCGGTTCTAGAGAATGGTGCCTAAGGGTCCGCAAGAGACTGCGTGGGAAGAGAGAAACTGACGATCAAACAATGCATACATACTTCTGAGACACCCTATGTATTCCGATCGATACCCAATCATGACTTATAATAACGGGCTAAGGGTTGTTTACGTCTTTTTGTACGTGTGTGTGTGTGTGTGTGTGTCTGTCTGTCCGTTACGAAATTCGTAGAGCGTGTTCCAGCAAACGTTCTAAGCCCAAATTTTGCATAGCGCATGCTACCTTCATGGAAGCCCAATATGCAAAAGCACGAGTAGATTCGTTGAGTGGATCCCTCAGAAATTGCGCGCCAAACGGGTCCACCTGGCTTCTGTACCGCAAAATTCGGTCCGTATCACCACTTTTTGCAGAGTCGTGGATGAGTTTGGTAAGCAAATGTGCAAGCGATGGAGTTTAGCCAGAAAAGTGATTGAAAGTTTACTACATAACGAAAACGGCGCCAAAACGAATAGGTTGTGTAAATGGTCAATTTGCCAAGGTTCTAGCTAAGCGTTTGAGAAGATTTTCGCACAGAGATGTAGCTCATGGTTATCATTACCTTCATGGCGACTACCAAGTAATGACAAATCCAAAAACCTATTCAAATTTGCGTTTGTTTTCCTGCGAAAAGTTTCATCCACTCGAAATGACCGATCTCACGTGAAAAGACTTTCTAAATGAGTGGTTGTTTACATTTTATTCGTGGTAGTCGGCATAGCGCGGTGAGTTCCAGTGCCATGATTTTACGAGAATGAGTAAGGCACATAGATAGTAGAGCCAGTGCGAACCTCTGCGAAGCAGAGGTGACGCACTGGTTTTCAATAAACGGACGTACTTACCGTTCTCTCTACCTTCGATCGGGTACTGCTTTGTCGCTATAAAGGGCGCCCGATTGGGTGATAGGCCTTATAACGATAGAGCGGCGCCCAATCAAAAACGGGAGATCATTAAACATAGAACCTGCACGTGTTTTTAACCTGTTACAATTCGTTAGCACTAATATATATGCTTAGCTCGAAAACTTGTATTGCCAGGTATGAACCATAACGCAACGTGTTCGCCGATAGAGTTGAACTCACCATCATTTTCATTTCTTTCCTTGCACGCAAGCTGATAGGATGGATCTAATCGAACGCGCTCTTCCTACACATCGTTCGTAAAATCAGTGGATCTTGAGTTCGATTTGTTATTAATAAAGGCCGATTCAGGTGGAGGGTCGAAGTCACTCCCTGGTGGTTCAACGTCCGTGCCCGGTTATCCCTATCCAAGCGGCACAAAGTCGAAGACGGGAAGGGTCAGTTATAAAATGCCTCAAAGAAATTGCAAAGGCAATGATTTTTAGAAGACTTTTGGCGGTTTAGAACATATCAGGTCGTTCCGAAAATTAGCTCGCTTTTTTTGAAACAAGCTGAATTTCGCGGAACAAAGGTTTAAGATAATGGTAGTATTTGATACAGTTCTTCATAATCCTTTAGAAGATATGGTATGGTTGATATGGTTGCAGTTGACCCAACAAGCTTTTAGAATTACTAGAAAATGCTGGGTTTTTGGCCAAATTTCGCCATTTTTCTGAATTTTTCATTGACTTTTCAGAGAAGTGCAAGTAATTTGTGGTAAACAAACCCTACAAGATACAAAACACTTATTTCTTCTTCGCGTACTTCTCCATAATAATTGACAGAGTTCTCATAAATAAAACTTAGCTACCATGACTTGTGAATGAACACCAATTCAACGAAGCAAATAATTCGCTGATTTGGATAACCAAATCTTGAATCCTTGGTTGCTGGAGCGTTTTAAGAACATGAGTTATTTATATCCGAAAACTTTCCTAATAACAAAAAACATTTTGAAAAGAGAAAAAAAAGCTGCATTGAACGACCCCCAAGTTGCTCGCCGGTTTGTTATAAGATTTGAGTTGACCAAATAAATTTGATAGCATCTAACGATAAGAATAATTTCCAAACTTCAAAAGCTAGTTATAAAGCAAAGAAAACGTTTTATACCTCGTAGCTTTGCTTTATTAATCTTCGACCTCTTTCATAAATAGAATTTTGACCAGGAAAACAATTTTGAGTGCTCTTGGTGACTTTCTGTAAGCTCTTTGTTTGAAAGCATTAAGGACATAATCAGTTGAAAGAGCTGAAAAATTACCTTAAATTCTGCCAATAACTCAAGTTCCATGTGGCTCTTCAAAAAAGCAAAATTACTTTGGGGACCCTAACTGTGACAGCATAAATTACGACAACATTGAACAGAGGTCTCATTTATTGCAGTTTTGCTAGTAGGTCAAATGAAAATCTTACTTTTTTGAGGCAAAAAACGTTATGAAATACTTACTTCTAGAATTCTTAATTCTGGCTAAGCATCTTTGATGATTTAGGCCTAAGGCATACTTCGTGCGATTCTGGTCGCTGCGCGATTTGGCACAACAGCGACTCGTTAATGCGCTGCCTTTGGTCAGAACTTGCTTTGTTTGCAATAACTTATACAAGCTACCCAAATATGTGTCCGAGAGGTGCGCATGAATAAATTTGTAGAGAACTGGCAAACCGCCAAGTCGCGTGAAAGTGGCGATTCGGCCGAATCGCGTGAGGTACGCCTTAGGCCCCGGACAGACTTCACGCGATTTGATCGTCGCGACTGAATCGCGACGAGGCAACTGTTAGGCCCCGGTCAGACTTCACGCGACTTAATCGTCGCGATCTAATCGCCAAGACTTCCATTCATTTTCATTTCACATTCAAAAATGTCGGGCTGGAAAAGTATCACAACCGAATGCAAGTTGATCGGCATGGAATGATGTTGTAACAGTTGTCTCGTCGCGACTCAGTCGCGACGATCAAATCGCGTGAACTCTGCCCGGGGCCTTACAACATCATTCCATGCCGATCAACTTGCATTTCGGTTGTGATACATTTCCAGCTCGAAATTTTTGAATGTGAAATGAAAATGAATGGAAATGTCGACGATTGAGTCGCGACGATCAAATGCGTGAAGTCTGTCCGGGGTCTTAAGGACCGGGCATACTTCAAGCGATTTCAGTCGCGACGCGATTTGGCGGTATTCCAACTGTTCATAACTCACTGTAAGCATATTCCAAATGTACAGAAGACAGGGCATTTCATCACTCTACCTAAGTCATACACGCCATGCATGTGCAGTTTACTAGTGTTGGATCTGAAGACTTTTGGCGGATTGCCAAATCGCGTCGCGACTGAAATCGCGTGAAGTATGCCCGGCCCTTTAGGCCTTAGCGTTCGGAAAGCTTTGATCTGCGATCAGCTGCAACGCTAGAATCATTGCACTTTATCTTTTACCTACAAGCTACAAGTATCTCGGCGAAACTGTGCCTCTGATGTCTCCATATCGCAGATCACTCACATGTAGCATGAATCATGACTAGTTGGTAAAAAAGGCAGAGTTTTTGTAATGCTCTGGTAAGGGACAGGAGAAATATTTGATAGAAGGGACTACTTGTTGCAAGATCTGAGCTCGTTAGTGGAAACAACACTGCCGCTCCAAAAGCGGACATGCATAGCTGCGCGTAAGTGTAGAATGAACCAAAGCAGGGATGAGCAGCTATCTACCACAAGTGCGTGAAGCCGCGTGTGCCTTATTGTATCAAATTCTGGTCAAGTTCGCCAAAACATGGCCCTCAGGGGGGATACCTGACATGATAATCACGATATGTTACTAATTATGCTTTGCCAGAGCCCTAACACTTACGGGAGGCGAACGATAAGGCGAGAGGGGAAGAGATTGAGACAGAACCTAGGGGGAGGGGACGTATCCGGTGGTTGTGTGCCTCTTACTCGACCCTGGTCATTACTCCTTTCAAGCGCCGGAATGACCTTAGCCAAATCACTGGATTTTCTCTCAATTCTGGAACTTCCCTCCCAGAAGCGTTTTGCAGATACCGAAAGCAGATTTTGAATCAACGTCATGCTCTGTAAGATAGTATACATCTCATACAGAAATGCCACTTCGACCAAGTATCCTCCCCTTGTCAGTGACTTTTGAGAAGAACTTGAGACGTATCTCAAAGACCACCAAACTAGTAATCAAAAGAAAAAGATTTTTGAAGCAGATCCCAATACAAGCCATCTCAAGCGCCTCATAGCTAATGCGTTGCAAAAGAGCTGTGCGGGAAGGTCTACTCTTTGCTTTAACCATATTGGCTGCTGGAAGGCGGGGCTTCATGACCTAGAAGGCGACTGCTCGCGTCCGCGACGCAATCTGCGCCTCCCTCGCGAACATGCCTGATCAATTTTCTAGTTAATTAGGTCTTGGAGCTTCGCCTTCCAGCCGCCGATGCGGTTAAAGCAAAGGATAGGAAATACAGGCAAGCCAAGATAACTGGAAACGGACGGGGGAAGTCGAAGATAAGAAGTGCCGAGGGAGATGTGAATGTCTGGGCGCTTTGCACTGGTTGTGGCTATATATATAAAGCTGAATCTGTCTTATGTTTGTACGTATGTGCGGAATAGAAATTTTTATTTCTGAACCGATTTGGACCAAACTTGGCACACATATACTCCGGGGCGGGGACAGTGTCATAGGCTACTTTCGTCATCGACCGATATCGATTTTTATCGATTTTTTGCAGATTTCACCTATGCGGCTGGGAGCTGGCACAGGGGGTAAGGCTCCCGCCAAAGTGCCGAAGTTATGCCAGCGCTACGCCAGCATTTCGATCGATACACGTGTATTTCGTTGGGAACATCTACCTGCTGAGCTAGCCCCGCCCCAACGAAATACACGTGTATCGATCGAAATGCTGGCGTAGCGCTGGCATAACTTCGGCACTCTGGCGGGAGCCTAAGTGAGCATGGCGATTCCGAATACAATATTAATTTCAGAATTATCGATTACTTTTATTGATTTTATCGTATTTTTGCAAAGTTTGAGCTACAGAACTGAGAGTTTGCAAGGGGGATCGATCATGCTGATTACAAATACAATATTAGTTTTTGGTATCACCTATCATTTTTATCGATTTTATCGATTTTTTCAAAATTTGAGCTGAAGGGCTGGGAGTTGGCACAGAGCGTGGGCATGCTGTTTTCGAAAACAACACAGGGAACGGGAAATGAATTGTAGAAATGGGCACAAGGAAAGACTGTACAGGAATAGGATGGGACCTTTATTACATTGTTTTGACAGGGCCGAGCGGAGCCGGGTAAGCAAGCTAGTAGAGAATACTATATGACAGCTTGGATGGTAATCCAGATAGATTTAGAGTTCTTGGTCCTCTTAGCTCTAAAAAGAAGGTTCGCCAAAGACAGCCAAACTAAAGATTCGCACAAGAAAATCAACTATGCTATAAGATTTACAGAAAATTGGGATTAGTCTTTGTTATTGTCACATTGTCCCTCAGAATGTAGGAGCCATTTAAGTGATATTTATTACAAACTAGTTGGCTTTCCCGGTCCAGCCCGGGCCTTGTTCCGTTCACCTTCACTGCAAGCCCCTCTCCCCTTCCCCTATATGTTATATGTCCTTGGGTGACTTACCCTGGGACATCCGCTTCAAACCGCATCCTCGTGATCCCAAGGAGAAAATGAGCTTCACCGCCTCCTGATTATTGGAAAATGCTTGATTGAACATGACACGCCTTCAATTCCTCAGAAAAACGTAAACAAATCAAGAAATCCATATAAGGACCCAACGAATCGCCGCAAAAAGTAGCCTATCATCTGCGCAGGGGTCGAAAACATATGCGTGCAAATTTTCAGCTGAATCAGTTGAGCGGCGCGCGTTTCTATAACGCACATAGCCTCCAAACTCACAATTTTGAGTTATATATATATATATATAGATTTAGGCGTCCCGCTCATTTGGAACATCTTTGCCATACAAATTTCCGACAAAAGTTGGAGCAGCATCCGAGGAAGCACAGCCATGGATTAGGTATCGAAGTTTATAAGTTCTCACACAAGGCAGTATTATCGTTGCTATGAGTACAGAGGACTAGGATTGGAAAACATCAAGATCAAAGCCAGGTCTTGATGTTTCAACCATATAGGTGTTAGGCAGTCGCGGTCTCAGGATTTCCGTCCGGGGGTGGGGAGGGGCGGCAGAATTTTTTTTTGAAATGAAGGTGAGTGGCGTCAGCCACGCACTCCGAAAAATTTCAGGGGTGCCTCAGACTTTTTGCGGGTTCCCAACCCCTAAACACCCCCTCGGTCCGCCACTGGTGTTAGGCGATCACAAACAGAAGTTGTTTTTCAGGATTTCGGTTGCTTCACAGCACTGATTACTAAAGCTTTCACAATTTAGTAAACTTCTCTGCGTTATTTACAAAATTCCTTGAAATACGTCTCTCTCCTGAAATTCCTAATATTGACAATCACAAATCATTGTTCGTCATCTTCTAGATCAGAAGAAAGTTATAGTCTGCTCGCTAGCCAAAACACAGGCTACATTCAACCTAGATTTGATTTCAAGATTAGTTGCATTTGATAAGAAGTCAGGGCCAACAAAGCTTGTCATGGTCATAAAGAAAAAAGAGAGTCAAGCTTTTGAAAGCTGCCGGAATGTGAGAAACTTGTCAAAAAACACATAGGGATACTGTCAGTGAGATGCAAATTGCCTAAAGAGCATTCGGTACTGAGGAGAGCATCAGGTCACGTAAATAAAACATCAGTAGCGATATCTGAGGAGCGAAAAAAAACAATGATATCCACAAGTTAAATTTTACCTCAATTTAAAGTTAATGAGTGTGATAGAAAAATAATAAAAAACGATGCCTCTTTGATGAGATCACAGTCAAGCGATAAAGTTAACGAAAGGAGTTGAACAAGCTTTTGAAGAAATTTCCTCATAATTTTTCTTACATTGTTCCAATCACTTCACATTGCCATCTATAGGGCTTATCAAATTGAGTGTCGTTTGCACCAGCATCTCCATCTTCGCGCTGGACTCTGCGTCTCTTCCGCGGGGCTGCTCTCTAAGCACTTTCCCAGGGCGAGCGTGGGAAAGTTGGAGTCTCAATCAATTGGAACTGATTAGGGAACATGATGTGCCGCAGAGGAGACGCAGAGTCCAGCGCGAAGATGGAGATGCTGGTGCAAACGACACTCGATTTGATAAGCCCTATATACACAGTTTGGTGTCATGTACTTTTCTTCTCGTTATGAAAGGGAGTCTGTTTATTCCGGGATTCAATTTTTACACTGATGCTCGAACTTGTTTTTGTGGATAGTGGGGTAGATGAGGCCGTAATGAGCACTTGCACGTTTGCACAATATCTTCTTTACTGTAAGTTTAATGTGCTGAGCAAAGGCGATAAAGAAATGGAAGCGTTTAGCTTTCAGGGTAGGGTTAGCTTACCTATAGGACTATCCTCTGGATGGTGGGCGTTATGGCCGCGTTAAAGGCAGTGTCCAGGCTAAACCTAACCCCCTCCGACTAGCGTTGACCCTGAATGTAGGCCCCAGAAAAGGGGCATCTGCGTTGGTCCGGTCTCAACGTTGTCTCTGAATGGAGATAAGGGGCCTGGAAGTCTCTGGCTGAGCGGAGTCAGACTCCGCCCAGCCAGGGACTGCCTCCCGACACGTATTGACATGATAGTGAGCAGAAGCTGTACACTCTGCAACTGCACCCATGGAGTTGCAGCTCCTCCCGGAGGCATGCCTACGGGGAAGAGCGATCTGAAACTCGTCCGCGCCCTCAGGACAGGGTCCCCAGGAATCGGATTTCTTGTGAATTTTGGAGAGTTTGAAGTTCGGAACTGTAGTCAGGGCCACGGAAAGGCCCCAGAATGACGAAAACATGGGGGATTTGGAGGCAATTTGGAGCCGAAATCTGTAGGCTTTACTACTCCAAAAATCGAATTTTTGCCTCAGCGTTAATCACATGCCGGTATATAATATCACTCACGTATGCACTTGCTGTAGTATGCTCTTTTTTAGACTCGCAGAAAAAACAACAACAAAAGAAAAATGGCATTCACAAACCCTCGGCAAGTCGAATTCCCTCTAACTTAGATATCTATACTACAAGCCTTCGGAGGCTTGATTGTGAAATAACAGAATGACATACAGTCTGCCCCAATCCTAACCAGGCCAAAATTGGCTTGGCGGAAGTGCGCGTCGCGAGGGTTTCGCGCCACTTCTGCGTCTAGCTAATCTGCTCTCTCCTCAATCTCTTCGCTATCTGCGACAGCGCGCGTAGCACAAACCCCTAGCGTTGCGAGCGCGCAAATTCAGCCGACGGTTCGGTCTGATCCCGATTGGGGCAGACTGTACGTTTTGATTTTCTAAGCATTTACATTATGAACCTGTAAGCTAAGGACATTGTTTTTGCATCAATCTAATGCATATATACACTCTCCAATATCCCCCCCCTACAAACACTCAGACAATTATTGCGACCACCCGCGAAGGGGCGCCGGCCGACGTTCCATCCATGCCGCGGGTGGTAGAATAAACGCATGCCAAGCCCTGAAATCTACCCGCGGATGCACCGTTAAGTGCCCAAACGAAACCCGCGGGTGTCCCGGCAATCAAACTAAATACGCGATATGCGTCCGCGGGTGGGCCCCAAACGCATTAACTTAACGCGGAAATATTTTCATAGAAGTTTATGAACTTGTGTTCTCATTCTTCTAGCCTTCGCATGAGGTCGCCTCTACATAAAATTTGGCCGAGGGGCCTATTGAGGACCGACTTCGTTGCTAGTTATAAGCTGAACTTATATAACCGAAGACTTAAGCGTTTAGGGCACATCAACCCACCGCGGCGTATCTCACGCAAGCAATGTTTTTGCTTCCAGCGTGTAAGAATTGTGGCGTTCAGCAGGGCCCGGGGCTCGTTAGAATGGTTTTACCGGGCCGTGACGTAAAGTGGCGCGACTTTCCCGGTAACTAAATACGCAGGGCGTCCCGTAAGGCCCGGGGTTCGCACGAGTATCTTGTCTTGGGCCGCGGGTGTTCCGATAAAACAGTCATGGCCCGCGGCTCCCTCGCGATAGCATTGAGTCGCGGGTTGCCGACACGACAGTAGGGGCCGCGGATGCTCGCAGTAGTCGTCTGGGCACAATTCCCTTGATTCCACCTCGTCATATACTTGTAAACTCACAAGCGCTCATCAGTGCCTTAGCTATTCCCAATGTTTGCAAAACCATCAGTTTTGAGCACAAATGTAGACGTTAAAAGCCCGAAATGAACAGAATCACTTCTATAGATATTTTATAACGAGGAAAGAGCTACATGATACAAAATCCGGTGTAGTTGCGCAATGGAGCAATATACGAACAATTTTGATGTTCTGAAATGAATGCGTGGCAACTATCGGAGCTGTAATATCGTTGACAACGTAGTTCGACTACTCTCTCATCAAATAGGTCTCGCTTTTAATTTTTTGTGACGAGCTCACCAGCGAAAAGCTGAGAAAAATTACTTAGGCGTAGTTTTGGCAATTTTTTATCACTGCCCTCACTATATCGTTAGAAAACAATCAGTATATTTTGTTTTATTCAGATGAATTAGTGCATTCCTTGATGCTGAATCTATCTTCGTACAAGCAGTTTCCCGTTTTTCTCAAAGTTTCTCCATACATTTCTCACAGTTCCCCTATAAATCTTTTCAACATTAGTAAGTTCCATGTTCTCTCTTCTCTTAACCTGGGCGTTCTTATGTAGTAATTCTATTTGTTAATATGCCGGACCCAGGTTTGTACGGTGGTATTCTTTATTCGACCTAACGTTTTGTTGGCAGCCGCACAAGAAACCAATGCTGGAGAAGAATAACCGAATATGTTGATCTGTTGTTTATGATATGTGATATAGTTGTGTGCACTATATATAGGCATTCCTTAGTAAGTATAGTTCATTCTTAGTTCCTTGTCGTCAAGTAAAGGACTCGGTCTCCAATCGTCTTCCTACACACGCCATGGCAAACACAACAACTGGCGATCAGAACCCGAACCCGAGCCCGAACCCGATCCCCAACATGGACCAAAAACACCTTCTGATGCTGCAAATCATGGAGCTGCGGAAAGAAGTAAAGAAGAAACAAAGATCCAGCGAGGATTACGTGATGAATGCACTTGATACTCGTCTACCAGAATTCGATCAGAACCCGAACCCTAGCCCGAACACGGACACGATCCACTTTCTAATGAAGCAAATCATGGAACTGTGGAAGTCTTGTCGAGAACCCATGGCTGAACTGACGAAGCAAGAACCCAACGAAGAGTACAAAGACTACTTGGAACTGCAGAATCATATACAGATGATCGACAAAGCCAAGGTACCTCAGGTCAGCGTGAATCAGATGAATGAGAACCCGCAAGTCAACGCGATGCAGCGAGACGAGAAGCGGAAGCCATTCATTGGTCACAAGCCCAGAACATACCTTTGTATGAACTGCGGAGCGAAGACCCATAGGACCAGGAAGTGCGAGAAGCCGATCACTGAATGCAATTACTGCAAGAAGCGTGGACATCTAGAGAGGTACTGTCTACGTAAACTATTTGTCGATGAAGCCAAGGACGTCCACCCTGTCGTCATCTCACCGCCTAAAGAAACGAAGTCGTACTGCAATGTGAAAACCAACAACACAAGTATCGAGTTACGACTTGACTGTGAAGCTGAAGATCGCGACACATGGATCAAGACTGGCCGACACAAGCTAAAGAAGCCGAAACATAAATCGACTGCTGCTAGGACCAGCATTACATGCCATGGACACGGCACATGTGAGCATGCGCTAAATGGCATCGCCTTGAATGGTACCACAAATGTACTTGATGGACCAGCTCTACTTGAAGTGCATTGGAACCAGAGCGACTGTGCCTTTCACAGTGATATCGGCTGTCATAATTCGAATGCAGTGACCGCTACGAATGATACACTTGACAAGAAGCAAGCTCACCTGACAACACAGTTCGCAGAAGTGTTTCAACCCA